TGAGTAAATTGAACTTATGTTAATTAAACGTTTACACCGGGGTACCTGTGATTACGCGCCCTTTATAACATAACGAGACAGCTGTTGCCCATGACACAAACATTTTTGAAATCTACAGGGTTTGAGCTAAATTTTGATACCATATTCAATACTGTGCATTCATTTTGAAAAATTGCCAAAATAGGCCACTTGAAGTAGATGCCAGCATTGCCTGTGTGTTTTCCGCCTTATACCATAAGGTCAGAAAACAAATTAAATGCTCTATCTGCTCTGTAAAAATCGTAAGAATATTCTGAGTTGTTATCAAGATATTCAAAGAATTGCATTCGAAAAAGCTTGACATGAATCGAAACTTTAAAATGTTGATGTCAAATTTCTCAACACTAGGTACTGAGCAGATAGAACTTTCTAATTCTGAGGCAGAGACGTGTCTTGGTGTATTTCAATTTCCTGTGTAGTTGTTCAATGTTGTCTTTCAATATGAGGGTTTGTATAGGCCCCTAGGTTTGTATGTTTATCAGAAAGGCATCAAGAACAATTGGTAGAGACCTGTATAACTTTCTTTCTCTTGTTTTTGGGTAAGTGTTTTACAACGCTCGCAACTCCATGAGGTCATGTAAGCGCAGGGGACAAATTAAACATTTTTCAGTTGGTTGGAAATTTTGAATGTTTTCCGGGTGGCGGCTTAAACCACCAAGGGATCTTGAACATGCGCAACTTTCACACGCCCTTGTTCGAGAAGGCTAGGTGTAGATCTTTCCAACCAGAAGATCAGGGGTGTGGCTGAAAGACAACAGTAAGAAGGAGCCAAAGAGTAGCAGTAGAAAGGCTGCAGAAAGAGTCAGGAGCCCAGAGGAGGAGGTAAAGGAGGTGAAGGGGTGGGGGTAGAAAGTGGAGACGAAAACAGACGACAGAACATTGCTTGAGAGCAGGAAGGGAGGTGAAAGGAGACAATTTTAGAAAAGAAAAATTTTCGGTCCCTACCCGAATTCGAACCCGGGACATTTGAATGAGAGGCGAACACCTTAACCTGTAGGCCACGAGA